GAGATTTCATGTTCATGTGGTTTGACGCATGTATGATAGGGAGAAGCACTGAAATCTGATGCAAAGAACATCAGTGCTCTCTTAGATTGGGTAAGGAGAGAAAGTCTGCATTAGCAAAACAAAGCTGGGAAACTGGGCATAGAGTCTGCTTTAATGAAACAAAAAAGCTGTTTCAGTCACACTCTAGGAATTCGACACTGATAAGGCAGCCTTTAGAGTTACAGTTGTAATCAAAATTATTCAACCCCCTCCCAATTACAAATCAGGCTTATTGTCAAAATTTACAGACTTTCAGCTGTTTGCAATGAATAAACTTTTTAAAAAGCAACTGAAATAGCTCAACACAACAAATGCTTCTAACATTTTCTCCAAATTCAACTAAAAATGCAACTTTTAAGGAATTCTGCTGTCTCGAAATTATTCAAACCATTCATGGCAAGCATCTTTAGTACTTAGTAACTCAACACAACAAATGCTTCTAACGTTTTCTCCAAATTCAACTAAAAATGCAACTTTTAAGGAATTCTGCTGTCTCAAAATTATTCAAACCATTCATGGCAAGCATCTTTAGTACTTAGTAGAGCACCCTTTTGCTGGGACGTGGTGGCGCTACAGGTTAAACTGCAGAAGCCTCTGTGCTGTAAGATATGTAGATCTTCAGCTGTAAGTTCGAATCCACGTGACGGAGTGAGCGCCACCTACCTGGCAGTTAAAATCTAGCCCAGGGGGCCATTTTGAAAGAGCTCTCCATCAAGGAGGTAAGAGGGACGGCTTGTAGACAAAGGGCCTTTTCGGCAGATGCCCCCAGACTATGGAATGCCCTCCCGACTGATATTCGTCTGGCGCCGACGCTGATGACATTTTGGCGTCAGGTCAAAACCTTCCTGTTCCAGAAGGCTTTTAATTGAAATAATATCAGCTGTGGGTCCTGATGGCAATTTTTAGAGTACATATTTTAATTGCATTTAAATTCTTTTGTCTTTTTATTGCATTTTAAATGTTGTAAGCCACTCAGAGACCTTTGGGTAGTGTGGGCAGCATATAAGTTAAATAAATAAATAAATAAATAAATAAATAAATAAATAAATAAATAAATAAATAAATAAATAAATAAATAAATGAAGGAATGAAGGAATGAAGGAAGGAAGGAAGGAAGGAAGGAAGGAAGGAAGGAAGGAAGGAAGGAAGGAAGGAAGGAAGGAAGGAGAGATGCTCTGACAAGTAACATGGGCCAAAACCACTGATGGCTTTGTATGTGAGTGTCAAAACCTTGAACCTGATCTGGGACCCCATGGGCAACCAGTGGAGGTGAGCCAGAACTGAAATGATGTAGTCAAATTTACTTGCGCCAACCATCAGTCTGGCTGCTGCATTCTAGACCTGTTGAAGTCTACAGATCAGGTTCAAGGGAAGCCCCATGTAGAGGGCATTGCAGTAGTTGATCCGGGAGATGACCAGGGCCTGTACCAAAGTCCTGAGGGAGTCCTCGTCTAGGTAGGGGTGAAGTCGGGCCATTAGCCTAAGCTGGTTGAAGGCTGATCTGGACATGGCTGCAATCTGGGACTCCCAAGAGAGAGCCGGGTCCAGAAGAACACCCAAATTATGCACTTCATCTCTAAAATGAAGGGGAGTACGGTCCAGCCTAGGGACGATCTCCCCTAACCTATCGGAGGTCCCCCCAGGAGCAAAATCTCTGTTTTGTCTGGGTTCAGTTTGAGCTTGTTAGCCCTGGTCCATTCCAGTACTGCAACCAGGCAATGCTCCAGCATCTGGATGGCATCTACTGCAGAGGTGATAACGGAGAGATATAGTTGAGAGTTGTGTGTCATCAGCATACTGATGACATCTTACTCTAAAACTCCTGATGACCTCCCCCAACAGCTTAACATAGATATTAAAGAGCACTGGGGATAGTGCCTATCATTGAAGAACCCCACACATAAGGGTCCACAAGGTGCTGACACCTCCTCCCCTACCTGAACTCTCTGGACATGGTCCTTGAGGAAGGATCAGAGCCAGCTCAATGCTAAACCCCCAATCCCAACCTCAAAGAGCCTGTCCAGGAGGATACTGTGGTCAATGGTATCAAAAGCCGCTGGGAGAAGTACCAACAGGGTGCATCTGCCCCTGTCAGCTTCTCTTAAAAGGTCATCCTGCAGCACAACCAATGTTATCTCAGTAGCCTGTCACAGCTTGAATCCAGACTGGAATGGGTCAAAGTAATCCTGCTCCTCCAGGTATGACTGCAACTGATTGGCCACCACCCTGCCAGGGACTGGTATGTTAGCAACAGCAACTGAATGGAAATTGTTAAGCTTGTCTGACGCTAACTGGTTGTGTTTGATGATGGGTTGGATGATGCCCAGGACTGGTATGTTAGCAACTGAACGGAAATTGTTAAGCTTGTCTGACGCTAACTGGTTGCATTGGATGATGGGTTGGATGATGGTTTCGTTTAAGTGGAAGGGAAACATTCCCTCCCTCAGTGATGAATTAATTATGTTCACAACCCAATCAATGATAGCCCCCTATGTGGCTCTGATCAGCTCTGGAGTGGAGACAGCTTTTGGGGGTGATCATGTCAACCGACAAGGTCGTCTCCACATACCATATCTCAATGTGGGCTTCAACAGGGTCATCTATCAGATCAGCCAGAAGCTCTCCCAGAGCCTGCAAGGGTGGACCGTTTTCACTGGTCCATTCTCCCCACGGAGGGGGCTCGTGAAAGACAGGTTGAATCTCAGTAGGAAGTGATCTGCCCATTACAGAGGCCGGGAGTTCACAATGCCTACCCTCACATCACTATCCACCTTTACAGTTAAGAACACCAGGTCCAGAGTGCGGCCAGCTGAATGTGTAGGGCAGATAACATGTTCGGATAGGTTCATGGCTGTCATGGCACCCATGAATTCCAGGACCGGGCCAGATAGTTCTAGTTCAGCATGGATGTTGAAGTCCCCAGCTGTCAATAGTCTGGGTGACCTCAACATCCATGCTGAAATGAACTCGGCCAGTGCTAGCAGGGACACTGCTGGGTCATGGGGAGAACAGTACATAGCACCATTCCAAACCTATCATTGTGCCCCACAGTCAGGTACAAACTCTCTAGGCCTGGGCTCAAAAGTTAGGCGATCCTACTGGCATGTATAGAGTCTCTGTAGACTATTTTGACCCTTCTCCCTCCCCATCCAATCTGTCCTGATGCTGCATGGTATAACCTGGGGGGCACATCTGAGAGAGGGCCACCCCTCCCAGAATGCCCATCCAAGTATCCATGATACACTAGGGCAGTGGTCCCCAAGGTGCTTGGACTTCAACTCCCAGAAATCCTGTGCCCGTCCAGGTATCCATGATACACTAGGGGCTCCTACTTTTTGCAAGTCAGAAAAAATGGACTTTCCTCCATGTGATCAGTTCATTCATTCATGTAAAGATGGGGTACATGTCCATAGGTAGTGTTTTGGTGACATAGGCAGTTGAGGTGTGATGTTCAGGACTGTGGGAACACCTGACCCCACATTTTTCCCTCTGGACTCTCCTCCAATTATTTTTTTATTTTTAATTTTGACACATATGAGATTAGTACTAAATCACCTTATCACTAAAACTGACATATAAATAGCAAAGCTTTGCAGGTTAAGCCAGTCATTCTTAACTCATTACCAAATGTTGTTTCTACTGTTGTTGCCTTTAGCCACTAATCATTGTTGCTGTTTACAGAACAAAGCTTCAAAAGAAAATAACTGAATACCAAACAGAGTCCTAAATCATTGCTAGGTGTGAAATGCAACCAAACACCACTGTCCCTTTATCTTAGACCCCTGAATGAATGTTTTGCCATGTAGTCTCTATGTTCTTATTCTTATGTCTGAAGAAGTGGACATGTTCCATGAAAACTCACATTAAAATACAGTATAGCAGTTAGTCTTTAAGGTGCCACAACAACGTTGTCCTTTTCGTTTGTTTGTTTTTCTTGTTCACATACTTGTACAGCCTAACGCTGCCAACACTTTGAAAATTAGTTTAGTGTTAGATCACCTTTGGGTGAAAGAATTAAAAAAAACTATGAACAAGTTAAGAAGAATGTTGGAATGCTGCCATCTTTTCTGGAACACTGTACAACCCTTTCAAAACAACTTGACTTGACATAAAAGGACCAACAGATGCAGGACTAGAGAAAAGAAAGAAAGAAAGAAAGAAAGAGAGAAAGAAAGAAAGAAAGAAAGAAAGAAAGAGAGAAAGAACGAAAGAAAGAAAAAGAAATATAGAAAAGGAGGAGGCTGTGGGCTGAAATATGAATCATATTAAATTGAGTGTGAACACTGAATTCCTGAAATCAGTCTGCAAGTCCGTGTGATGATGAGTGCGAATTCAGCTGTAATATAGGCTGTGAATCAAATCAGAGTGATTCAGCCTCCCAGTAAAGTTGCATTGGGACTAGGAAGCCTATGGTTCAATTTCCAGTCAGTGTTGGCCACCTGGGCCATTGTAAGTCACCCCTTGAATATCTCACAAAACACATCTTGAAAACTCTGTTGGGGTTGCCAGTAATGGCACACAACAACAACGAACTACAGACAGGTTACTTTTATAGACTACAACTCCCATAATTCTCCAGCAAGCATGGCTGGAGATCCTGAGCGCTGAAATCCAAAACTGCAACTTGACCAAATCCCCACAGAATCCATGATCAAACCGCGACGGTATCCTTGGCTTCACGATAGTTTTGATCGGTGAGAGGCTATCTGCCCGGGGGAAGCTGTCTTTGTCTCCCCGCTGCTGCCACCTCCCCCGATCCCTTCTGAATTGTTCCCCACCGAGGGCGGCATTTAATTCGGCCCGTCCCATACCAGGCGGGGAGGTGAGACCCCACAGAAACCCTGCCTCCTCAGTTTGTCCGGAGGGGGAACTGCCGCTCCCTGCGCTTCCCCGGCCTTTGCCCCTAGAACGACCCAGCGAAACCCCGGCCTAGACGAGCCCCGCCGCCCCGCCCACCTCACCTGCCCAGAGGAAGACGCCGCAACAGAGGAGGCAATGCCAGGCTCCCCGGGCCATAGCCGGGCTACGCGGCTCCCCGGACGCCGTGCGTTCGTCTGAGGGACGGGGCACCCGCGCCGCGCCAGCCTCAGGGTCGTCGTCTTTTCTTGGATTTTTTCTGGCTTGGCGAAGGGATGTCCTATTCTCACGCCCCGATCGTCTCCCTCTTCCTCTTTGCTACGCTTCGTGCTCCTCATAGCGCGAACCTCGCCGCCCACAACCCGAGACGGGCATTTCCTCTTTCCTCCTAGAAACGGGCAGGTGAACCTTGTCCCTCAGAAAGAGGGACGTAACCGCGCCGCCCTGGCTCCAAGCCCGGTTAGCTTCGCTTTCGAAGCCACGTGAAGGCGGCGGCGCGGGGGCGAGTCGTCGGCCATTCCTCCCTGCCTCTCTCCCTCCCTTCCTCTCTCCGCTTCCCAGCCGAAGAACACGGGTCTAAGCCTCGGCGGTGGCGTCGACACGTGTCGCTGCTGCTGGTGCTGCCGCTTTGCACCGCGGGCGAGGAAGCCTGCCTGAGCGCAATCGAGAGAGCGGGCCGCTCCGCGCCTTTTTGTCGCCCTCCCCACGCCCGACAAACTGGCGTGTGAGTTTAGTACTGTACTCCGGAGGAGAAAATGTGCCCAAAGAGAAATTAACCTGGGGTGTTTAGGCCGTTGGATTGGCACCCTAAAGCAAGGCCACGACTTGCTGAGAAATAAATGCATGAAGCGTTGCAAGAAGATTGAGAGACATTTTGGCTCTCCCACTGGCATCCTTGCTGGTAATGTGCCTGCCTGGCCAGTCACCAAAGAGATACTCTTGAGTCCTGACAAAAGACTGTAGATAGCCTTCACTCAACTGATGTCATCCAGGTGTTTGGGATTACAGTGGACCCTCTATTTATGGAATTAATCCCTATTGGAATGGTGGCTGCAGTCGAAAAGTCTGTAGGTCGAGTCTCCATTGACCTACAATGCATTCAAAATCAATTAATCCGTAACCGCCAGTTCTGTTCCATTTTGGTTTTTTTTCTGGTCTGTAGGTCGATTCTCTGGCTGCAAGTGGAACCTAAATTTTGCAGCCAGAGAAGTCTGTAATTCGAAAAGTCTGCAAATTGAGCCGTCTATAAGTCGAGGGGCCATGCAGCCCACCCCCCCACCCCATCATCCCTGACTATTGGCGATGCTGGTGGGGAATGACAGTAGCTATAGTACCAAACATCTATCTTGTGGGGACCAGCTTGGATAAATCTGAACTAGGTAATCTCGTTCCAATAAGAAAACATATTTGCTTATTAAGTAAAGAAGGGTCCATACAGACCACCACCCCCACCCCATCATCCCTGACTATTGGCAATGCTGGTGGGGAATGACAGTAGCTGTAGTCCCAAACATCCATCTTGTGGGGACCAGCTTGGATAAATCTGAATTAGGTAATCTCGTTCCAATAAGAAAACATATTTGCTTATTAAGTAAAGCCTGGAAACATTACACTTTCTGGATGAGTTCCCAGAATCCCTCATCCAGTGTAGCGTAGAGTGACATAGTAAAGAAATATACTGTATTCAAGTTCTTATTAAATAATGGTGTGGGAACGGGCAAGGGAATGGATAATCTACTTTTCAGTCCTAACTTGATTACTTTTCCTTTTTATTTCCATTGTAGGTTGCCCCCCCCCAATAATTTTGCTGTCTGATGTGAAGGATAAGATTCCCCTGAGCAGACTAGCAACTGATTCTTCCTTCATTACTAATTACACTTGTGAGTAGCAATCCAGTTGGGGTTTTTAGTACAGGCCAATGTGGCACACACACCTCTTTCCCCCTCAAAAAACAAGGCTGGCAGGAACAGAAGAAGAGCTGCCCCCTTCTCTATTGAGACATCCCCCCATGCAGTATTTTCAGAAATTGGTGAATACAACAGACCCTTGCACTTAAAACAAAATTGTTTCCATGACTACAGTTATAAAACAAGCCATTGTAAGTTGAGTCCTGACTCCCCCAGAAAGCTGTTCACATGGGCTGAGAGATTTTAGTGGATCTAGTCCACAAAAGTATGATTTCCAAGCTCTGTTCCCTTTTGCTCTGTGATTTGTAGTGAAATCTGTTTTATACACCATGGACTATTTTTCAGACCACAGCAACCAGAATGTTCCCCAGGCAAATAGATGTACACCATTACAGTGGTGCCTCGCTTAACGAGTGCACAGTTTAACGACGAATCCACAAAAGCGATCACATTGCGATGTTTAGATAGGGAAAAAATCGCTTTGCGACGATTGGTAAGCGTTTCGCTTACCGATTTTCACATAGCAATTTTTTAAAAACAGCTGATTGGCGGTTCCAAAATAGCTGCCGGACACCCAAAATGGCCACCCACACCATTTTCACGTCCTGCCCTCGCTTACCGAGGGTGTAAAAATGGCGGCGCTATGGGGAAACTTCGCACAACTGTGAGTTTAGGAGCCATAGGAACGCATTGAACTAAGTTTAATGCATTTCTATGGTGTTTTCAGTTCCGTGTAGCAATGTTTCCCCATAGCAATGGTTAATCCGAAATGGATTAACCTCGCTATGCGGGGCACCACTGTACTTTTATGAGGAAGAAAAGGTAATTCAGCACTGCCATCCTTTGTTTGAAGAGGCCACATGGCCCTGTGACAGACTTCTGTACTGATGGTCTTATAAACAAAAACAATGGGTGTTTCTGGTGGGTATCCATATTTATATTATTTCAAACCATTGATAAAAATAATGAGAAATTACTTTTCATATAGAAAGCAGAATTAGATGGGATGCTGTTTTTAGTAAAAACCCAGTCTCTCTGACCGTTTATATATCCCATTTGCTGCAACTGCAGTATCTGAACATACAGCAGGTACTGAAGTATGAGCAATTGTTTTAACAGCCAAGCCATTATAAGATAAATAGGAACTTCAGGCAGATGGGTATTGAACATCACAGATATTGTTAAAATAGAATTCATTTGTTGTCTCTTTAGAAAGATCTATGACTTCACAACAGCCAAGCCATTATAAGGTAAATAGGAACTTCAGGCAGATGGGTATTGAACATAAAATAGAATTCATTTGTTGTCTCTTTAGAAAGATCTATGACTTCACAAATCCTTATAGTCTTTCTTGACCATTTATCCAACAAGGAACATTGCAATTGCGCACACACCCCAATCCAGAAACATATACATTCATAAAGTTTCTTTACTTGCTTTATCTTCCAAGCAAAAACAAAACAAAAAAACTGACAAGACATATGGCCAGCCACAACATGCTTACTTGAGAGCTAACACATCTGTAACAGAGAAATGCAGAAAAGCACAGCCCCCTACTATGCATGTTTATTCAGGACATGCTGAGTAACCAGCTTTCAGCCACGCAAAATAAACCTCACATTTATGCATATCTACTTAGAATGTATGTAAATACCTTCCTACTCTTTAATATTACATTGTTGCTTGGAGCTGCCACCACTACACATATGTGTGTGTTGCTAGGAAAAGATTTGTCTGGCCTATGGCACTCATTTGGGCAGTAGCTGAAGGCTTTTGCTTTTCTCACAATAATCCTTGTGAGATAGGTTTACACTGAGAGATACTTATTTTGTAGTCCCAAAAAGCAAATTTTCTGCTCTCTGCTAAACAATATACTTTTTTTTACACTGGAACTTATGTGAGAAAAAGGACTGTGACTACTTCATCTTTCCATAGCTTATGAAAAACAAAACGGGAAGAGAAACCAGCTGCTGTGTTGCAACAGAAACTAAGACAATGTAAAAGTCCCTTAGTTGTAGCTGAGAAGGAAAAATCTAGTGAAATGCAAATATCCAGAAGGAACAGAACATAGCTGTTTAGATGAAAAATTCCCCACAGAAGAAGGTTGCCAGTCAACTGTAGTTTCATCCTTTCGAAATTCTCACGATTGTATCATATTGTAGGAATTTATTTTTATTTATTTATTAGATTTATATATCGCCCTTCTAGAACATATCTACTCTGGGCGGTTTACATATAATATAAAAATAAACTAAGATAAAATCCAGATTAGTCCAAGATGAGAAAGGAAAAAAGAAGAAAAAGAAGAAGGAAAGAAAAAAAAGGGGGAGATAGGCTAGGTAATGGCTGTAGGGAAGGCCTGCCTGTATAGCCATGACTTCAGATTAGTCTTGAAGGCCCTCAGCGAGGGAGGCAGGCGGATCTCTACAGGTAAGTTGTTCCAAAGGTGAGGGGCCACTGCCGAGAAGGCCCAATTTCTAGTTTTTTCCCACTGGGCCTCTCTTGGTGTTAGGCCCCTCAACCACCCGGCCTGACTGGAGTGGGTGATACGGGTAGAACTGGGTGGAAGAAGGCGCTCTGCCAGGTATCGAGGTCTTAAACTGTTAAGGCCTTTATATGTAATAGTTAGTTCCTTGAAATCAATGCGGAAGCGGATAGGTAGTCAGTGTAAGTCGGCCAAGGTGGGGGAAATATAGTGAAATCTTTTTATCCCTGTTAATAGCCTGGCTGCTGTGTTCTGGACCATCTGAAGCGTCCGCATAAATCTCAAAGGAAGCCCCACACAGAGAGCGTTACAGTAGTCTATTATTCAGACTACGAGCGCATGGACCAGTGTGCTGAGCACCCCCATGTCTAGTTAGAAACACAGCTGGGCAATCCACCAAAGATGTAAGTGGGCAGACCGAACCACGGACGCCACCTGGGTCTACGGAAAAAAGACAAAAGCCTATCTTACAGCACAGTGCACAGAGTGCTATCCTCTGAAGATGCCACCACAGGGACTGGCGAAACGTTAGGAAGAACAACCTTCAGAACACGGCCAAAGAGCCCGAAAAACCCACAATAACCATTAGATCCCGGCCGTGAAAACCTTCGGGAATATGGAGAAAGCAGAGATCAAAGCGATCCTGCAGCGCTTTGATCCCTTTCCCCCTACACTTGCTAAGCCCCACTTAGATTTCTTAATTTTGGGTTAGGAAAGTGGGAGGGTGTCTTATACATGGGGGTGTCTTATACACGGAAAAATATGGTAACTCCTGCATAGCCAGCTTCATGTTTAGAAGCTGAAGATAAGAATGTAAGCTGTTACAGAGGAGACAACTTGCAGGGTTGGAGGTTGGGATATTATGATCGGGATGTCAACACCAATGTCTGCCACACTTGCTTGGACATATGTTTCCTCTGGACTTAGCCTGCAATCCTTATAAAAGGTTGTGGGGGAACTGGTCCTTGTAAAACAAAATCATGGTGTATTGAAGGGTTGGGCAATATTGGCGGCTGTCAAAATTTGGAAATTACAGAAGCTCAGCTCTGGTCTGCAAAGGAGAAAATAAATTTTCACTTTAAACAAAGCATGTTGGGAGCATTGTACCCTATTTAAAAAGGGAA